TTCCGCATGTAGTCCGCTAGAGTTTGGGGATTCCATCCCATCACCTCTGCTTTTGAGGGAACGTTAGAAAAATTCATTCTTGTCTGTTGTGAATGATAACTTACACTTGATAACACAGTGACTTTACTTGCCAGCCATCATCTTACTCATCACTGTGAAATGATCGGTCTAAAATTACCCCTGCTTAAGCACACTTTAAGAATGCGTGTGTTTTTTTTTATACTCTCTCACCTATTGTGTAAGAGAGTAAAAGGCTTCTGTGGTCAGAAAGCTATGAATAGAGCATGCATGCACTGCAAATGGTCGATCTGTAAACACAGAGGCTGTTGATTTCATTTCTAACACATGGTTAAGTCTGCTCAAAGTTGATTGTCAATTTTTAATGGACAGCAGACTTGAAAACTGAAATGCAAACCCGGGATAAATAGTGATGCTTGGATTGTAGATGTTATGTCTCACATTGTGAGTTAGGGTTTTATATATATATATATATATACACACACACACACACACACACACACACACACACACACACACACACACACACACACACACTTTTATTACCATTCTACCTTTTAGTCTTATTGTTGGTTGTGTTCGGTCTTTTTTCCCACCTGCAGCTTGTGTGAGACCTCTTGGTGTCTCACACCCTGGTGATAGAGGAGGGCAGCAATGAGAAGGGGTGATCAATCACGCTCTGACCCCCCTGAGCCACTCTGGGAGAATACACAAGTTCCCCTGGGGGGTCCTTGTGGCAGAACCCCCTACCTCTGTTTTCTTCTTTTATCCTGAATTGGAAACATACCCCTGTGACATGCAACTGCCACCAAATGTGGTATAAATAATAAAAAGTGATGGGTCAATGTAAGTTCTTCCTTAAAAAAAAAATTCCTTTACTGAGTCTAAAATGTTTGAAATGCTAAAATCATAAAACTCCTGAAAGATAAATAAATGCAGTTTAGTGGGTGAAAAAAATGTCAAATGCAGGGTCTGCTCAGGGGCATCTCACTTGTAGAGTGAATCCAAGCACAGCTGAGCATCATATGGGAACAATATGGCACCAGTAATGTATTCACTGGAGAGTAGAGATAAAGCGTGAGGGCCTCCAGTGGGGCAAAACCTTCATTAACGCACAGCAGGACAGCATGGGAAATACGGGACATCCCTAGAGGGGAAACAGACAAATGGGAAGTGTGGGAGGGAGCGTTTCAGGTCGGTGAGAGTGTTATTTGTTTGCTTCTGCAGCCAGGAATTTAACTTGATGTTATGCTTCTTTGATCCTTGGTTGTGTTAGAACCCAATTTTGTCCCCAAACAGTACATACGCTAACAGTAGTCTGTTTATTTGTAGAGTTGTGTAACTATTTGCCACAGTGTTTGTGTTTAGATTTAATATGACATGCCTAATTTCACATTGCAAACATGGGTGAAAACTGAAAAAGTGGAATGCATTCGCTGTTTTGCCCCAGGTCTCGGGGCTTTATGATGTAGAGACACCAGATAGTCTGATAATTCATGTCAGAATTTCTCACTTATCTCTGTGTTTTTATTGGTGCAACAGTAACTGTTCTGTAAAGATAGTGAAACAGACCTGTCACCAGACCCATAACTGTTAACATTCCCTCCCCCTACGCCTTCCCCTCCAGCCATGGGCCCCCTGAAGAAGGTAATATCCATGCCATCAGTCATTTAGTGGAATCAGTGGCAGATTTATGACACATCCAGCTGAGAGGCAAGGTTTTGGAGATACAGGGGGTACAGGAGAGAAAAACTGACATGCCAGCAGAGATAGATCTAATACTAATACCTAATTACTTGCAGATGATAAGATTAGAAATCATCTTGCTTTTCAGGGGGGAAAAGTGAGTCATGCTTTTATATAAGTGTCTGATTGCATATACAAGATTCATGTAACAGCGAATAAACACCAGGCTTTAGCTTTAATGTGTTGAGACACATTTGCATTCCATTTGAAATGTGACAAAGACTAGCGTGGGCAATGGTGTCGCCGATTACCAACCAAACACTGTAACTTGAATGGTGGAAGGGCTTCCCTAATTTGTCTTTCAAAGGCTCTTTGCTCTTTGAATAAAAATCAATCCACATTGACATCAAAGTGGTGGCGGATAAACGCTGGATCGACACCTCGGTGTGGTGTAAGCTGCACGATGTTATCCCTGTAATCCCCCTTTTAAAATGCATGCAGTTGATTCTTATTATGTGCGTGCGCGGTGTCAGAAACTCTGGTGGCCCTCTTCTAGAGAAAAACTGAAATTGTAGATACAAATATTTAGAATTTTTTTTTCACATTTTTATTTTAATTACAGCATTCTTAATAAATAGACACTAGGATATCATACACGAAAGAGGGGGGAAAGTGCAAACAGACAAATCCATAAACGCAGTCGTTTTCATTTGGGTCCACGATCTCTTCGTTTTCCATCCCCACCGTCCTTCCTGCCGCACACGTGTCTGACTGTAACGTGGGCGCAGTCCTCGCAGTGCACCTTACAGCACCAGTGGAATTTGCAGTTACAGCTACTCATCACCTCCGTGCGCTTTTCTTCCACTCTCAGGCCGCATTCGTGACACAGCCTGCGGCAGCTCCTTCTTTCCCCTTGCGTCAAGCCCTGTCCGTGCAGCAGACACTCCCTGCCCTCCGTGCCGTGCGCCCCCAAGCTGGCGTTCTTCCTGCAGTAGTCTGGAGAGTCCTGTAGGTAGATGAGCTCTGACTGTGCGATGCTGCCGAGCGCGTCCATGATGGCACCTTGGATATCCGCGCTGTTACCAGCGTTCATGCGCTTTTGGTCGATGTCCAGCTTTTCAGCGTGACTGTACTTGATCCTCAAGTAATTGCCCACGGCTCTGAAATCGGACAGCTGTGTCCAGCAGGTTTTGACACTGCAGCTCTCAGACATTCCGTGGCATCTGCAGATACGCGTCATTGTGTCTTTCACGGCCTGTTGGAAACATGGTTCTGTTAACGGCTGCTGATGCCTTAGCGCTGAGTGATGAAGGGTTAGTAAAGAAGTGCGTGTCGTTTGAAAACAACTCACCATTCGGCCAGCCGCGTTGTTGTGGAGGTTGACAGCAGCCCTAGAGTCCTGACCCGTCTCTTCCGCATCCACGTACTCTTTGGAAATCCTCTCTCCAAACTCCACGTTAGCACTGCAGCCACCCCACAACCATCCGCGACCGCCTGCACGACACAGTTTTGAATACTTAAAGATCATTAATTAAGAACTTGCATGTTGACAAATGGCGCTGTAACTCGTACGTTGACTCACCAAGCTTTCCGTTCTTTGAACCATCGCAGCCACAGTTTTCGAGTTCGCCAAGACTGCAGTTCCTGGTCAGAGTGTACATGACCCCTGCTGAACTGATAGCATGAACGAAAGCCGTTTCTCTGGTGGCTGAATGAGAGGAAACATACAAGGTCTACTGCCACAGCCTCTTATAGGAGAATACATAACCAGCATTGACTAATAACGTGTAGAATGTTGCATTGTTTTTATTATAACTCTGTGATAATCAAGGCCACACTAGAAAGGTACAAAGAAAAATAAAGTGGTATAAAGGTCAACATGTCCAAAGGTCACCAACTAAATCAGCATCAAAAACATGAAAAATAGATCCACATCCATGGGTGTGCGTGTGCATATTCAAGCACGGGTAAAAGAGTATTTTAAAGACACGTCTGGCCAGGGGCGTAGCAGAGATTGCAACAAGTCTAACAATAGTTCTGTAAAGATATTTTAATTGATTTAATTGCTTTAATTAACACATAAAAAGCATAGAAACACTGGAAATTACTTTTTGCCAGGAAAATCTGGGAAAACCAATCATTTGGTTGGAAATGTCGAATAAAACTTGAGGCTCAATAGAAAAACAATAACTACCTCGTTTCAGTCCTTTAAGCTGGGTTGCGCTGTCGGGGCAGTTCCATCTATCCCAGGCAAACTGGCGTTTGCACTCCTGGACGCCAGTCTGTGTGCCCACCTGCACGCTCTTTGCGTAGGTGAGATAGTCCTGCAGAAGAGGCAGTGACAGTCTGTCCTTTATTTTGTTTTTATTACATTTGAAATGTGGAAAAAAATGTTGCCACAATAAAAGCAATCAAATATATATGTATATATACCTTTGACCCCGTCATCAGAAAATTGCTTGCGACCCTGAGAACAATAATAATAATGATAATAATAATAATAAAAGTCATATAATTCTGTCTTCTGTTCACTTATTTTAAAGCATGCATGCAACTAGTGTATACATGTCTTACCAAGCGTATCCAGGATTGATTCTACACGAAACAAACAGCAGCCAAAAAATTGATTGCGCCATCTTCACCTATCCCGTTGTCGTTATCCTGCTTATAGAGATGTAGGTATTTTGACCCCGTGTGCTGCAGCTTTGTCCTTTACTTGACTGAGGACCAAATAAGTCTTCTTCTTTGTCTTGAGACCCGAGAAAGCTGATTGGGTGACTGGTTCAGGAGACGCCTATTCGCACTTCAAAGGTTGGCATTAGGAAGTAATTTATTTACTTCCCAAAGACTGTATGACACCAAGGCACCCGCATATAAGACTAAAAGACTCAGAATTTTACCACCGACAAACTGGGAGGCAGTTACGTGTATTGTATAAAAATATTTATTATTTTAAATAATTATTAGGTAGACTTTTAAATATTAAACCAATTTCAGTAGTCACACGTGATAAACAGCGAACAAACATCCTCGGAACTCCCAAGTTCCCAACACTGCTACTGTTGCTCCAATGCTTGGAGATTTTGGTCCAGAAGACAAAATTTGACCTATACACACTCCATTCAAAACTAAAGGGGGGAAAGGTGCTTTAAAGGACTTTAGCTAAAAAATTTAAATAACATTCATGTGATGCAGAATAATTTCTCATGTAGTTCGTAAATATAAAACTGGTTAATATGATGAAAATCCTATTTATCGAATAATGTGAAGAGTTCAAATTTTGCAAGAGATCCCAGTCATTGTTGATGCGCACTGTTCCTGCCTTTTTGGTTCTTTTTCCTCCCACTTTTGTGCGCGCAAAAGTATTTGGCTACAACTCGCTTGCATTTTTCACACTTAACTGTGCAACACCAGTGAAATTTGCAGTTGCAGCTGGTGAAAACCTCTGTGCGCTTCTTCACCACTTTTAGGCCGCATTCATTGCACAATCTGCGGCAGCTATTTTTCTCCCACTCGGACATGTTCTTGTCCTCCTTAAAGCACTCCCGTCCCTCTGTACCGTGGAGTCCGAGGGTCTGGTTCTTGACGCAGTAATTTGGAGAACTCTCCAGGTAAACGAGTTCCCTTGTAGCGACGCTCAAAAAAGTGTGCGTGACTGCGTCTCGGTTGTCCGCGCTGTTCCCTGCTCTCGCCGCTTTCTTGTCCATTTCCAGTTCCTTTGCATGTTTGTACTTCATCTTCAAGTAGTTGCCCACTTCTCTGAAATCGGCCATCTGCATCCAGCAGGTTTGGATGGTGCAGCTTCCAGATACTCCGTGACATTTGCAGGCCTTCCTCATGGTTGCTTTGATTGCCTGCCGAGAGCACAAACGTTTTACCAAAAAATAAACAGAAAGCCAAACAAAAACAACGATCTCGTTTTTCATTTATTACGCTGTGTCAGAACACTATTGACATAAAAAAAACCGTCAATAATATTAAGATCAAATCTTACCAGTCTGCCTGCCTTGTTGTTATGCAAGTTGACCGCTGCGCGCGAGTCATGCCCATCTTCCAGCGCGTCCACAAACTGTTTGGAGATCTTCTCCCCAAAAGCAACATTGTCACTGCATCCTCCCCAAATCCACCCTACACCGCCTGAGACAAAATAGCACATGACGTTATTTCGCTGTAGGAATACAAGCCAATTTAGAAATCGCTTACTGTAACCGCGGATAGAATGCTCATGGAATACATGTTTACCCGGCTGTCCAATTTTGGAGTCATCGCAGCCGCAGTTGTCAAAGTCCCCAGCCGTACAGTTCTTGGTGAGCGTGTACATCACTCCGGCAGCGCTGATGGCATGGACGAAAGAAGTTTCCCTTGTGGCTAAAATAAATAACAAACAAAGAAATCTGGATTTTTTTACTTGGATATCCAGTTTGGCACGAATAATGCGTAACTGATGAGTTCTAGTTTTGTGCGTGAAAAGCACTTTACGCACAGGCGCTTCAAGATTGCTCTCAAAAAAAGCGCACGACCTCACTAATTTTAGTTGCCATAGATTTGATTCAAAAAGAGTTCTTACCACTCCGCATGCCGTTGTGTGGGGACAAAGAAAGCGTGTTCTCTGGACAGTTCCACTTCTCCAAAGCGAATTGGCGTTTACACTCTTGTATCCCACTCTGTGCGCCCACTCGCACGCTGCTGGCATAGGTCAGATAGGCCTTGGATGAGAAAGGAAAGGAAGTTATGAATATTAATGTTAGTGCTAATTACATAGAATTTGGCTGGAAGGAACAGCTTTTACGCAACACTCATTCTTAAAATCTTAAATGGTATTACCTTAGGTCCAGTCATCAAGAAATTATTCATGGTCCTGTAGAGGGGGAAAAAGATAGCTATGTTAAACCTGTAAGTTATTTTACCAATTGCAAACCCATAGAAACTATATCATTTAAAACGTTCTTTACGAGAGAAAAAAAGGACATACCAAGCAGATGACAGCTGAAAAAGACAACACAGGAACAGAACCAAGACTGCAGAGAAATTCAGTGGTTGCATAGCGTGTGTATTCCAAGCAGAGGCTAGTGTGACGTATTCCAGATGTGAGCGCCAAGAAAAGAAGGAGGCGACTGAAGTTTGTCGCCCTACTCGGCGCTCATGATATTTATATGGTCGTGCCCCCTTTGACAGACAGATTTGTCCAGCAAGTAACATTTTACTGTGTAATGCGTCAACGACATTGGCTGGGGCTTCCCATGGACAAATAGGAATTGTCGGTGCATAAGTGCACTTCAAAGAAGCAACGCAGACGAATTCACCTGTTGTTCCCAGGCTCTGATGCTAATTATAAAAACAAAGTATATGCATGGATTTAAAGTATATGTATGTGTGTCAGTATATGTGAATCCATATGAGCACTACGTATAGAATAATTAAAACCATCTTCTAATAATCCCCCGGATTTGGAGACATTTAAGAATAAAAGTATTATTTTTGACTAATAGAAGATCATTATTCACACAAAAAGTAATCTCTGTATGGGTTCATTGTGATGATTATTGTTCATCTTTATGTGCACACAAATCGAAGATAGCTTAGCTAAAAGATAATATAAATAAAATCACTTGAAACATTCGGGAGATGGCACCAGTATCCCATGGGGACACTGGGTACTACAAAGCCTTACAGCTTTTCAGGAGTGACAGTATATAGTCATGTAAATACCGCCTCACACATCGGCGAAATTGGCACCGTTGTGATAATAGGATAATAGATGTTTCCCTGGGAAACAACTTGGTGCGAAAACAGTCTGGGATTTACAAGACCCGTAAGGGCTATGACAATTAAAATGTAGCATTGCAAGGTCATTTTATTTCATAATATGTTTAGTTTGACTCTTGATGAAATATTAAAAAACTGTAAGTTATATGCAGGTTTAAGCATTGGATGATCCTCTCAGGCTGATCACGTTTAATCCCGCTGATTCGCTTTCTCGCTTTAGCCCACATAATCATGTCCCTCATCAAGGAATCATCACCACCAGTTTCTGTCTTTTCATACTTTTACTTGCGACTTGGACAGCGGACTTGTCAGATCCCCTTTAAGCCACTCAAAATCCCTTAAAACAATAATTCACTCAGCCTGCACAAAAAGCGGAGAGGTGTAGATAATCCCCACTAATTAGATATCAGCTAAGGTCGTGACTGAAACCTACAGCTCCCCTCCCCACCCCACCCCCGGTCTGACTTACTCTCAAAAAGTTGAGAATAGTAGAGAACAGCTTAAGCCAATAGAGAACCTTTAACGATATTAATGGATTTACTGATAGAAACAATCAATCTGGGCGTGTCTACATGACGACATAAGTATCGAAACTCTCAGGACTACAGATCAGGACAAAACACCGGGCTTATTGGGTGACATTTTAAACGAATATTGCAAGGAGCACATAGAAAATTTCTTTTATTTTTTTTACCCACCACCTTACACACTTTGGGAGTGAGAACGTGTTGCACACACGTACCCTTTTAAGTAATTGACAGTGGTGAAGTGAATATGCATTAGTAAAACTGAGCTAAAATAAATTTCGGACACAGGAGACCAGTGAGAGTTGGTGAATGGCTTGCAGTGTGAAGTACGAGAAGTGGGTCTATCAAGACTCGGGAGGTGAGAAGTTTGACAGGCGGAGGCAGGGTGACAGGAGCAACACCCGCAGGCGGAGATTTGGGGTTATAAATCACTGATATTGAGTTTAGGGTGGGTTTACTGGTCATTTTTGGTGTCACCGTAATGTTTACTGAATAATTCTGAACATCAATTTAGAAGTCAAAACATAGCTGTAACCAGTGCCTTTTACAGGAATATGGGGAATGAAATTATTTTTCACACCATACTCAGGTTCACGTTTTTTTTTCTTCCAACGCAGGTGATGCAATCAAATTTAACAATACAAATCATTACGTGCTATTGTAACGGTCCCCACCCCCATAGAGCTATTTCTGTCAACTGCTCCATTTAACTTTAATATTTAAAATGACACAATCATTTCAACAGGACAAAATGCTGTCAGTTAAAACAATACATATACTACGACTGTGCTCTGGGATACATTAACAAAACCGTCAGCTTTGTTGACTGACTTTTTCTCCAATTTTAGTTGATTCACCGAGCTCAGCAGCAGACGTCAGGCGTTTAAGAGTCTATAAATATGTGAAAAGGCTGGTGTCTTTTATAGAATCATGGTTTGGAAGTCCTAACTTGTGGATGGTGGTCAGGTTAGGGATGATCTTTGGACACAGGAGTATGGCTGTACCGCTATATTAATGCGTCACACTCCTGCGTGTATCATTAAGTGGAAGGGCAACAAAACTTCATAGCAGGGTTTTCTAAGTGAGGCATGTCCCATACAGCAGTCCAAGAGCATAACTGCAATTCAACAAAGTTGAAATGGAAGCTGCAGATCTCACCATAGCAGGGAATTCTGACGTTGATTATCAGACCCGTGTTTAACATTGCTTAGAAATGTTTGTAGGTTTTTTTTCTGTCTCGTGTAAAAATCTTACACTCTCAATTCAATTCAATTCAATTTTATTTATATAGCGCCAAATCACAACATAAGTCGCCTCAAGGCGCTCTCAATTCTCTTCATTTTGCATTTATTTAGTTAGTGGTAGTTTTCACACTGAAACCGCAGCGCTTGATTAGATCATCCTTCTGTACACTGTCACAAATCTAAGCGTGAACATCAGCTTTCTGATTTTTTTTTTAGACCATGTGGACATACATTTTTATCTTCACGTGGCCAAAAAAGTATTTTTTAGTTTGTTAGTGACTATTTCTTCAAATGTAGTGCAGTTTGTATTTTTTTATTTTACATTTTTGATACTTCTCTACCAAACTAACAATTAATTATATTCTATTCTAGTGCCAAGATTGACAGATTGTATTGGTTTAGTAACACCATAAAACCTAACGCTGTTCTATTTATTACATGAGCCTGGACCCCTGAATAGTTAGCGCTTGTTTTCTTAAAAAAAGGCTAAATGAATTATTGTTATGATTATTATAATTGTTTGTTATTGAAGACAGATTATTTTGTCTATCAGTCAAGTAATAGCAAATAAGACAGGGTAGCCTGAAATGTTAGCCACTGTGATAAACAAATTGGAATAATTTCCAATTCGGAATTATTCTGAACAGTTACTCAATTACTATATTTCTATTTTCAATATTGCTTTGTGTTTGTGTGTGATTAATTTATTATTTAATTTAGTAGTTCATGTTTAATATTACAAGAGTCAGCATAAGGGCATAAAAAGACAACACAGCTGCTTGAGGCCTCCACACCACCAGGGGGAGTCTCAAGCTCATTAAATGTCACACAAAACTAGCGGGTAAATGTATGTGTATATATATATTTTTTTTTTCATCCGTGGAATATAAATTTTTAACATATAAAACAAAAACAAAAATGAACCTTTAAGTAAGGTGAGCTTGGTTTATATTGTATGTGAATCAAAGGCATTATGGTTGGCAGCCTACCTTTAGCTTACTAGTCAGTTATAACAGCCCAGAGAACATGTGTGGTCTTTGTGTTTGGATTATGTTCCTAAATAACGATCATTTTAACATAATGAAAAAATTCTATTAGCTAGTTCTTCGGTGTAAGATAATTGTTATTGCTCAGTAACTAACAGGTGAAAATGTATGTCCTTAATATTTGACTACCATTGTCCCATTATGAAACAGGCCTTTTGTTCTATAGACCAGCCTTATTTTGGAGTCTTTGCTGTTATAATCCAGCATTGTTACACCTCAGTTAGCTCCGTGTTTAAATTTTTAAGACCTGCTTCTACTGCTTGATTAAAATATTTCCTCAGAAGCTTTGCTGAAATATTTCGGAACATAGAAAACAACATCTGCCTATGGTGCTTTCCAGTGCACTATAAGCCACGATAAGGGTTGTGTTAGGCGTACAAAGCACAAAAAATCAAGCATGGACCATATCTGGTTAATGCTGGGCTGATTAGCCACTAGCACTATATTTTCTGATCCCAAACCTTATGCTGGTTTATTGTAATGACATTAACATTAGCACTCTAACATACATTAGTAGGTAAAACATACACCAGCATTATATTACATTTTTTTCTATATTTTAATGTGTGAGTCATTTGCTTTATTTCTTTGCCTCATAAATACAGTGTGTGTCTGTGTTTGTGATTGTCTTGATTTGCACATCTGTAAAAACGAGACATCAAGATGCACAGGACTGACTGGTTCCATGTCTTCATTTTTATTTCATAAATAAAAGTAAAAAGTTGATTAAGAAAACATCCCACATGATTTAACTTCAATTACTCCCATGTCCATAACCAGCTCCCCACCAGCCCTATAGCCTGGATGCCTGCCTGTCTCTCTGTGCTACATCACTACACCACTTCCCAGTTTGGCAACATTGGAGACATGTTAGCTATACGCTAACAGCACAAGACAGGCACCCAGGCTGGAGTTTTAATATTGGTTACAGAGGCTCCCTTGTGAGGATGCCATATACCCTTAAAAGCACCCTGGGGAGCTTAAGAGCACCCATTTCTGAAGACAATGAAAGAGATTCAAATACTGTAATAATCAAAAGAAAGTGCTTTTTGTTGCCGCATCTCAGCTTCTTTTCTTCGTGTGCTTGAGTCAAGGTGTGGCATCGCCTTTCCTCTCTTGCTCAATGGCTAGAAAAGAAGAGAGAAACACAACCGTTGGTAGGCTCTTGTTCAGTAAACGTGTGTGAGGATGTTGCTTTTTGATTTTGCTGTGCATAAAATGTGTGATGACATTGCAGCTGTTTGCTTCAGAGCTCCCGCCGGCTGACAATGCGGTCTCTCGATAGCACAGGAAGTGATGATGAGGAGCTACTGACAGTAACAAATGATTGCAGACGACGAAGCCTTTGTGGCTTCAACAGTGATCAGAAACACACGGCGCACAACGAGCACTCACTCTCTTTGGTGGGCAGAGGGTTTTTCTCTTTTGTCTCCGTCTTCTTCAGCTTCGTCTTGTCGAAACGAGCGATCTCGGTCATGTCAGGCTTGTCAGACATTTTGGCTGGCAAAGGTGAGAAAGATACCTGAGCACACACATTTGACCTTTCCTGTCGAGCCTTAAATTGATAATGCAGCATAATGTG